CCGTTCGCTGAAATATTGCCAAAGCATAAATGATCATAAAATATCATTTTTGACTGGGCCACAAATTCCTTTCAACGTTAGAAAGCAAAATCTCACATTTACTCACGTATGTACGCGTAATCTTTGTTGATTTCAGGATTATTTCTTTTTTCCTTTCGCGTATTTTCCCTCTGAAGTGGAGCATACGTACAATATTAATCTAAATACGAGAATTTACGTGAAAATCTGGGGTGGTTCAAAATAAATAGACATCACCTCTTTAAAACGGTTCTATAATATTTAACGTTTGCACAACCTTTAAACTCGTAAACTAAGTAACCTAAATTTTTCAAGTTTTACAAATTGGCATCGTACTCCTGTATTACTGATCTGGTGAATATTTATCAGATTTGCTGATACTACCTAATATTGCCACTGATAAAGTAGTAAGAAGTAAGGAACTGGTCATTCTTACACTTGCTTATCTAAAAAAAAGAAGTTTGGTTAAAGGAGAAGAATCGATTTAGGTTACAAGAGGTGGAGAGAGGTGCAAAGGTTGTAAAGGAAGAAATGGTCGCCATCAGAAGGCAAGATGCGAGATACTATTATTAATAATAGTTATAGTAGTAATAGTATCCCTTTTCCTTTAGTCAAGAAAATCGACATCTTTTCACTATCTCTCACACCTATATTATAATCCTAAAGCTACCTCATAACTTGTCCCTCTTTTCTTGCTGCTATTACCCAAAGTCACGATTATTGCTTTTTATCTTTAAATCAGCATTACTAACTGTCATAAAAATAGTTGAGTAGCAAGAAATTGGGACTATCAATTGCTTACATATTCGTTCCCTACCATTTTTATAAAATTTAAAGTAAGCAGTGCGGGTAAATATAAGATTAATAGTACCACAATTCATTAACAGTTGTGAAATTGATTTAAGGGACAAAATTGCAACATTTCTGTCTTTATCACGGCAACATCGAATTGGAACATAGCGCAAGGCGGTACTGTAAACGACGTCAAAATAAGATTATCATAACTTATCAAAATTGTAATCATAATTGTTGTCAACGATCTTATCGCTATTAACATTATTATCACTATTGTTCTCGTCAAGAGCGGCGGTTGGAATAGCGATATCACTACTGTGAAATCCATTATAGATGTCACAACGGGTCCGTCTTCAAGTAATCATTTTTCTTCTCTCCTAAACATCAACTATTTAATCACTCTTTTTATAATTTATCAGCAGAAATTGGGCAGATTTATGATTTATATCATCATCATCATCATCATTAACTCGCCGAACGTTTTCATTTCATAGTCCTTTCAATTTAACGGTTGTTTACTGAAGGATTTTAAGAATGTTTCAACATAAATTCATAAATTATCAGCCATTATATCAACTGAAAGACGTGGTGATATATTACTGTCATTCAAGAACTGTTATTTTCTTTTTTTCCACGCCATTTCCATAATTTAATAATCAGACTCTCTTGTTATTTAAACTTTTGTTGCATTCAAGGAATAAAAAAATTGCAGTTTATGTGCTCTATTAAAATTAATGTATGCCTCATTAGTTCAAGAAAGAATTTTTCTTTCCTTAAATATTGCATTTTGATATGCTCTAAGAATTTTGTAATCAAATTTACAGTACTTATTATCAGCTGTTATCTTCAAGTTTTCGGTATCTTAGTGTCATTCAGCAGCAATTTTTATTGAAATGAAAGCATCTAACAGTAATATTCACACATTAGTAACTAATCACCATTTTATATGAGATTAGTTACTGAGTCATTTGGGACCAATCATTATGGGTTTATCTTTAAACCGTATGGCTATTAACAGGCAGTTCGTGTCATCATTGATTATCAAACTTTGATTGACGACTGAACTTGTTCCAACTTACTGTACTTTTCCCATATATCTATACTCGTCTCACTGCTTCACGTTTTGTTTAACGAATTATTTTGTAATTGTGAAAAAATATGTCTAAATCATTCCAAGTATGTACGAAATATGTGAATTTCTATTTATGGGACAGCTGGTTAAGTAAGAAATATTAAGTGTATTATTTGTTGCTTGTCCAATAGTTCGAGTACAATATTATTGTATTTGCCAGTACATTTCATGAATGCGTGTCTTCATGACTTTTTATTGAGGAGGTCAACTTTTTGGTTCATTTTTTAAACCGTAGCTACCGTAGTATGTAACAGAAAAAGAAGTAAAGAGAAATAAGATAAAATAAATTCGATTATTTATGAAGAGAGAAGGGATGGTTGGGATGGATGAGTGAATGAATAGATGAATGAAAGTAGTAGTGGTGTATGTCATTTCTTTTCACTCCGAAGTTTAGTTTTTTGGCTTCAGAAATTACAAGAACAAGTACCATTTCATATGCAGCATATAAATTCTCGAAAATTTGCCTGAATCTCGTGGGAGGGAAGGAAAAATAAGAGGCAACAAAAAACTGCGAATTTTTCAGCTAAATAGGCGATTTTGATGCGGAAAAGTTCATGTTGTTGTTTGAAAATAAATTGACTGGATATTTTTTGGACAGTAATATGCAGTTGAAAAATATTTGTTTTCTATAATGACAAATGCCACTAAGTTTGACGCAAATTTCGTTCGAACCTGAGATTTAGGGTCTCAGAAAACTTCATGGTACACTCATTATTTTATTCACTATTTAGGAAAGTAATGGTTAGAAAAAATTATTTGTACATGAGTTAACTCTGGGGTTAATAATTAGACGAGGTATTCGAAACATTATTAGGAGTAATGCTAAGCTGGTGACTACTTATCGTTGCTGTAATATAAAGGTTAATTTTGTGTATAGGAGCAATTTCAGTATTATGTTATTACGGAAATCGAAAAATCAATTATGTTTCCTTCTTGAAATTAATTTCAGTGCAAGACATTGTCAGTTAAACTTTTTACTTTTCGTCTTTGATGACTGACAAAAGGTTCTTTGTATCATTTCTTAAGCTTGACTGCATTTTTGAAGAAATATTTAGTCAATTTCGTTACTAATTATTTCTATAATTTACCTTCCTAATTCAGAAGTCAGCTATATACATGAATGAATTACTATAAAATACATCCAAATTTAGAATGTAGACTTTACAGGATTTGGTATATTTTCTATTTTAATCTATTTTATGATAAGATTAGCGTAAGTCTTACACGATCATCGTTGCCCATTTCGGTAAATAGCTTTAATTTTGTTATTAGTGTAATGGATTAACGCTCATGTTGATGCTCGAGATCAATATGTTCCTATCTGTAATTGTTTCTTCAATTAATGAAAATTTTTTGCTCTAAAAAATTATGAGTGTTCTTGGAAGAAAAGAACGAGCTACTGGTATTGTGATGAACTGAATTAATGACCGATCACAAATTGAAATACCGATTTCAACGGGTTTTTTATAAATAAAAAATGTGGACAGCGTGGCAAAAATGAGTACATAGATGGATGACATAGCCTGTGCAGATTATCCGCCGTCTAATTATCATTTTGTCAAATGAATGAATCAGTGCCATAACAGCGGTAGAAAAATAATTCGTTCCATTTTTAAGCAATTCTCCTAGCGAATAAATGAATGGATATAAATCTTTTGCTTAAAATGAAAGAAATAAGGAACGAAAAAATAAAAAAGATTGTCGATAGATTGAGGGTCGTTTTTTGACTATTACTTTGCTAAAAAGCTTTTAAAAGCAATTCGTTTTGGTACATTTCACAGCTTGGGGACTTGTTGCTTAGATAAAAAAAGTTATAGTTGCTTCTATTTATTGTAATACTTTTATTGTCATAAGTACTTGGACTTATCATTTTAATATAAACTCTTTAATTAACATAGATCAATTAATTAATTTTTATTACTTGTAATTTTCATCTTTTATCCTTCATCATAATTGAATTAGCCATTCAGTTGTCGCAGTTCCCTTTAATATATTTTCCAAAATTTTTAAAAGTGTTGATTTCTATTAATTCTTACACTCTCGTTAACTTCTAATAATTGCTGTCAGTTGAACAATTGATTAAGAAAGTTTGATGCATATGTAAAACAATTGTTTTAAATATTTTAAGGTGTTTTGATGCGGACAAGCTACTCTTCTCAAGTATTTATTATCAAGTAATTGACTTATTGCCATAATTTTGGAATTCTAACCGTCTAAGAAGTGTGGAAATGAAAGGTCTTGAAAATTAGTTAAGTATTATATTAGATATTTTCATTAAAATATCTTTTCGTCTATTTTAATTTTTAGTGTTTTTTAAAACTGAAAGTGTAATAATTACAAATGGAAATTTGATACTATCAGCAGCTTTTCAAACTCTTCTTGTCTTATCTTCTTTTAAATTCTTTTAGCGATTTTTCTGTCTTTCAATCTAATTTAACGAGTCTTTGAATAAGATGAATTGCTTCTTACCAAATATGTCATTTTTAATAATAAATTGCGTGAATTTTTTGATTATAAAAGAAAGGTTGCTTTTATTCTGCAATCATAAAATGAGTATATATTCAGATTAGTATTACTATGCAAATAAGTGATAGTTTTGCAAATTGCGTTTTGATTTAATTCATTCTCTGGTTAGTAATTTTGTCTTGCTGATATTTATGTTAGCATGCCGTCGTGCAAATAAGCTAAGTTTTAAGGAATTGGTGAATTTTTCTGTTCATGCAAGTACACTTTTCTCTACAGTTACAAGCAATTATAACTCTTAAATTAAAGAAAATATTACGCCAACAATAATTGTATTGCACATGAATGAATGAATTGTTAGCCATCCAAGATTTGTTGAGACTTATCTTGCTTGATTAACAGTTATAATTGCTAGAATTTTAATGTAAAGATTTGGTTGTTTGAACAAGTTTTAAAATAATTGGAGTTTGTCAAGCATTATGTCAGTGACAAATGAGATGAATATATCAGCAACACTTCTGTGGTATAATTAACAAAAGCAGCTAACCATATTTATTGGTATTAGTTCATGCCCTTTAATCTATGGTAACTTCATTTATTTTTTAACTTTCGGTTAATCTCTTGAATTTGTCTAATAACTCTTCCTACTAATATTAGCTATAAGTTAACCTGCAGATGTAATAAGTTTTGTTGACTTATTGTTGATTCGATTACTGATTATATCGTTAACTTTTAATAAGTTTATGAGTAACTGAATCTGTGGTGGCTAAACACAAACAAACACTGCGTGATAACAAGGAAATAATATTTCAAATTTTACAAACGAAATTAAAATTGAAAATTGATCTTTGCTGTAGGACTTTTATTGAATTTCATTCGAAATGGATGCGTTTTTGAGTGTAGTTGAAGTTTAGCTAAAGGAATATACTCATCCTGCAACAGCTGTTTAAAATTATCGTTGCAATTTTTTGTTTCAAGAAAAGAAATTTCAAAAAATGAAAAACTAATATTTTTGTCTATAATCACATCTATTTATTTCACATCTAAATACTTCTTCACTCACGAAGTTTTCTATAATATTAGTGAATGTTTTTTATACTATTATAGCAGATATCGTAATTCATATCAGCTCTCCTAAGTGCCGCATGAAATCAGAATGAGCAATATTACACATTTTACAGTTCTCATCATTATAATCAGAAAATTGATGAATAAAAAAATGGCAATCTAAAATAGATTCCTATCAACTTTTTCACTCTTTTTTATGCCATGAATGTGGAGATGGAAAATTTACTCTGTTTGCTGCAGGTGTACTGAATTCTATGTGTAGTATTTATTAAGTTTTATCAATAATCCAGTTTGATTTAAAATTTCTGATTGAAGGATTTGTCATTTGAACTCCAAAAACTGATAACTTCATAAATATTTTTCTATCATAATCGGTCTGCAATTTCCCGATATCCCAAGAAATCTGTTATTTTAAATTTTTAAATTCTAACGAATCCGTACAGTGAAATACATTTTTTTAATCTTAGATATATCCATTTTTTTGAAATGTTATCATCATATGGCTTAAGTTTGTATTCTACTCGGTGCAATATTTAGTGGTTCCATATTTTGTTTCGGCTTGAAAGTGACTATAAATTAGTAGTAAGGTATTTAGTAAAAATCTTCACATTTTTTAGTTAGTTCCTTTATTTGTGCATACAATTGCCAAAAAATATCTAGTGAGTTGAAAGATCTCTTGAAAGTGTTGTTATACATAATTTGTAAAGCACATATGCAATCTGTTTTACTTTCGTGAGGTGAATGTCATTGTTAGAATATTTTCAATTTTTCAGCTTGGTGAATTGATTTCATTAAGACTTATATTACAGTCCATGAATTCTCCTGATCAGTTGTAAAAATGAGGTTTGACAAGCAAAGATTTATTCAACATTAATTACTACCAGTTGGACCGTGAAAAATTTACGATTTCTACCAAGTTGTATACTTTGGTAATAAATTCGTAGAAAAGATTACAGAAGCGTTTGGTAATTTTCGCAATGAATTGAAATAATTAGAAAACGCATTTTTGAATTTGTTTTTTCTCTCCCTTAATTTTAAAATTGTTTAACATGCATGTAATTCACATTTATTAAAGCATTGTATGGCCTGATACCAACTGCATTTTCTTATTTAATTTACAAATGATCAGTTTTTGCTTGTTATTGCTAATTTCTGTTCTAATATTTGCAAATATCAGAAAAAAATTAAGCAAAATAGCGTTATATTGAAAATAAATAAGAGTGAAAATTTCAACGATTAATTTACTGATATCGAGATTGCTAAAATTCTTTATTAAAAGTTTAATTTTTAAATCCGTTTTTGTTATACTTTAAAATTCAAATAAAAGTAGCGCACAGTAAAATACACTTTTGTCTCCTTTTTTTTAATTCCTCGATGTATTTCATTTTTTGAAATGTGAATTTAGTATGGAGACGGTTATGGGCCACCGCCCACAGCATCGGACGTTTACACTGGAACGGGTACAGATCCTGCAACCGCGTCTTTGGGTTACTTCGGTATGGGAGCATATCCGCCTGTTGCTACTGCACCTCCGACAATGCTTGCTGATCCGCTCAACGAACGGATGAAGCGAGATAAAGAAGCTATTTACAAGTAAAAAGCTGTTTACTCTGATTTTGGAATCTTACAAACATCTTGTGTTTCTACTACTCTCGAGTGTTTATCGAGTAGTGGATAGATTTTAGCTTAACCGATTCATTTATATCACAATGACTAGCAAAATATTGCTAAAATAATTAACTTAATGCATTGAATGATGCAAAAATTTTCAAGTGTTTTATTGCCATTTTTATCATTCCCAATTACAGGCACTAAAGCACAATTTTTGCCTGGGCATTTTTTCTCTTGTACATTTTTGCTCATAAGAAGATAAAATCATGAACTTGACAATTTTTATTTGGCAAATAAAAGTTGTGTTGGAAATGTGTATCAGCAAATCGTTGCTAGTACAAGCATGTCTTATACTTTCTCATTTCAGTCATCCGTTATTTCCATTATTATCGTGCCTTTTCGAAAAATGTGAGTTGGCAACGTGTACCCCACGTGATCAGAATAGTCGTGAAGTTACGGCTGCGTCAAGTTCATCAACATCTTCAACGAATGACGTTTGTTCCTCAGCGTCATTTAAGGACGATTTAACTGATTTCGCCAAAATGGTTTGGAAGTTCTGCACGCTTCAAAGATTTTTTTTTTCTGTTGACTTAGTGTATAACACTTGTTCAGAAATATTTTCATTGTTAATGATGATGAGATTCAGTCTTTTTTTCTGAAATAGTCTAGTGATATCAATATTGTTTAAGGTCCAAAGTGAGAAACCGTATTATGTCCCGAATCCTGAAGTCGATGCTTTGGTATGTTTTAATCAGTTATGTAGTATCCAATCATTTCTGATACACAGCATGCACTTGATCTAGATGAAACAACTATCATTCTAAGCTTTCTGATTATCATTTGTGCTACTGTAGAAGATATCATCATCATAAAGTATATTGTTGTTGTGCTACCTTGCAACTTTTGTTAACTTTTCTCAAAAATTTTTTTACAGATGTTGCAATCAATACAAGTCCTTCGATTCCATCTATTAGAATTAGAAAAGGTCAGTTAATATTTTTGAAAGACCTTTATACAAGTGTTTATATCATGTATATAAACGTTTACTCTTGTAGTTCGCCTAAAACTTTTTTTCACGTTTATATCAGCCAATTTGATTACTGAGCGCAGCCTTCTTCTGAAATGTTTTTCTATACTCTATTACTTTCATATGTAAAAATAGTCACATATCAAGTCCATTTTTTCACTCCATTACGCCCTCTTGTTTTGGCTATAATTTAGTGCAGTATAAAAAACAATTATACAAGGGCGTAAACATAAACCAGGTGATGGATGGAACCTGCAATTGACTTGCCTTGCTTTTATTATTGGCGGTATTTTACTGCTATTTTGGTTTTTGCCTCACTACAATTACTGGCAGTCTTTACAATTATTATCATGAACATATTACTACTATTGTAGTACATCTGACAAATTTCATCATTCTCAGTAAAATTTTTGTTAACTGCGACATTTTAAAGTTAGACGTGGAAATCAAGAAATAGATATATTTAAATTTTTCAGTTAATTTGTGGTTATTTTTTGGCACTATCAATAAGTATCAAAACTTTAAGTGTATAGTTCGCAATATATAAATGTTTGTTTTAATAATCTTCTGGTTTCTGCACTAATTATGTTTGACAGTTTACATTGAAAAAAAGATTAGTACTTTTTAGAGCGTTCTTTGCTGCATTAATATTTGAACTGATTCTGCTATTTTCTTGATATTCAAAAAAATGCATTGATAAAAAATTAGTTACATTTCTCTTTGAGAATTCGCATTCAAAATTTATAAATGACTTGTTGCCACTCAAAAACAAGACATATATTAAGTAAATAAACTAATTAAACGTAGTAAATAAATTAAACTTAGTAAATTAAATAAATTAATACTAAAGTAATTTGTTTTAAAATGTTTACGCGACATTTTATTAATCCATTTAGAAACACGTCACATCATTTAGTACGTGTGATAATTTTTCGTTTCTTTGATTTTTGATGAATTTAAGATAAAATTGAAGTTAAATTAGTCATTGTCAGTTAACATTCGTATTTCTGAACCAAACAACATTTGTTGACTGGGAGTTATAAAGAAACTTTAAGTCGACTGATGTTAATCAAACAGCGGTCACGTTTAAACAATTTGTGAAAAGAACTCCACTTAGTTAATATTTATTCCGTCATTAAATCAAATGTGAAAAAAATGAATGAGATCTTCAAGTTTTTAAGAATAATAGAGAAAGCTGTACTGCTCGATACTGCACCCTGTTGATTGAGGTATTCAATAGCTTTTATTACTATATGATGAATGGTATTGTGTGGAATGAATGAGAAAAGATTGAACAAGGAAGTATTGTTACTTAAATCCTGTCAAGGAAAATTGTAAAGGAGTAGTATTTTGTTTTTGTCACATTAGAAAGTGCGTAAAATCAGCTCATCTTTTTATCCCATATCAGTGTTAATTAACAGTGATGAGCGATCGACTTTAACTTGTAATTTGGTCAATAAAAATTTTTTACTCCGTCGTTCATTCAGTTCATTTTTATATTAAAGTCATTGTACTCAGGAAGAAGATCTTATATTTGCCATGATTCTTCATTTTTTCAAAGTCAAAAAATATATATAAATTAAACTTTAAACGCTACCAAGGGTTAGATAAAGTGCTGCATTCCCTTGCTGCCATACCGATTGAAAGTAAGCTCGCTATATTTGTAATGCTTATGTAGTGAATAATCTAAATTATTTTAATGTATATCTTGATTGAAATCAGAGGGACTGATTGAGCAAGATTAGGCGTGAAGACTATGCAGTAGATATTTTGTACTTCAATAAAAGAAGGTCGAAGTTTGCGTATGTCATTTCTTGAGAATTTCAGTTTCTGTTCAAATTGTGTTGTTTAGAATAGCTAACACTTTAATCAGAAGAAAAAAATTGCTGTCGTGCTGTGTTGTAAATGACGTAAACTGGCAAGTTAAAACGATGTTACCTAAAAATATCTCTGTTATTTCGACCCAAATCAAAAATAGTTTTGTTGGCGCTGAACCGCGGGACGCTACTTTCCTTCGCCTTCATTTACGTACTAACCGTTTAGAAAATTTTCACAACTGGTTCTTTCAAACCTTTTTCATACTGATACCATACGATAATCTATCATCGATGAGAGCGGATGAACAAATGACTGAGCAGATGGATGGATTGATAGATAAGTTGGATCGCTTCAGACATAGTCAGACGGACATATGGACAGCTGTCAGTAGAAGACTTTGAAGATGAAGAAATTCGAAAGGGAAACTTTCATTTGCAAATAAGCATTTTCTGCTTCTTCATTTTCACCAATGATTGAAATCAGCGGGACTGATTAAACAAGTTATTATAAGTGGGGAAAGACAACAACATGAAATAATAATAATATTATTAAACAAAGTGAGCGAGCAAGCATTAGTGCTTACATATATTTAAAACAAGGATTTTGCAATATAAAGGAGCACAAGATACAGAAAAACTACAGTCTAGTCTATACTAAAAAAATCACTGAAAATTCTTAGATTGTCATAATGATTCAATCTGCATTGTTTATGTATTTTTTGAATTGTGTCATCACTTGAATTTTAAATTTCTTCCTGGAATAAGTTGAAGTTTTAATTTTGAAGGTACATGAATTGTGTGACAATTTTTGCCATCGATACGTGACTTGTCTCAAAGGTAAGATGCCTATGGATATTGTCGGTGATGAACGTGCTAGCAGTTCCCAGACTTCCGCATCTCCCAGTACAGCTCCGCCGTCCTCTAGTCCTTCTATGAGTACGCCTATCAGGTATTTACTTCTCAGTTCATCAGTATTTATACACTCAGTAAAGAATGAAACAATAAGTTATCTCAATAATTAACTTTTAATATATTTATTTATTTACGTGTGATTATTTAGCTATGAATTTTTGAGTGAAAAAGAAGATAATATCTTTCATAATTTGAATTATATTTTTTTAATCATTTTAATCTAACAAAGTCACGTTCATGGAAGGATAATAACTTTTAGCTCACAGTATCAGCCAGCTCCTTATGAACCACAATCGGTACCCTTACCAGAAAATACCACAGCTATTTCTTCTGGCCATGACGTTAGTTATTTTAAAATAGTTGGGAATGAGAAGAGTTTATTTGCATAAATTTGAGCAATTGAGAATATAGAGAATATAATTCATTTGTGTGAATCTGATACTAACCAATAGTGAGTTGACATTATTTGTCCTATATCTGTTAAAGTATAAATAAAAGTTAGTTTTGCCGTTCCTAATTTGTAGAATTTGAAATTTGTTCTATCAAATAGATTGCAGAAATGTTACTGTTATTATTGCAAATAAAAATTAGCAATATTGTAGCGATGCATTTTCCAAATTATTTACATAAGAATGTTTGTATGAATTGACTTATTCAGAGATTCTCGTTCCAGTAAATGCTCTTTGAACATATCCTTCTTTTGTTGATTTATATCCCAGTTAGTTCCAACCATTTAACTATTATCAGTCTTTTCGTTCTCTTTTTAATATATAAATTTATCGCTGGTGCTATTCACAATGTCGTTCATTTTTTGTCCATAAAAAGGATTTGGGAAGAGAGTAGGAAAGATGCACTGAAAGAATTCAAGTAATGAATGTTGAAAATGCAAATTTTTTCAGTCATCTCACTCTTGACTTGTTTTATTAAAATGTAAAAAAGTAATGAATAAATAAATAAGGGAATAGAATGAAATTCCTTTTTGAATTGTCATATAAATAACTGCCCTAGAGTTACCACTTTATCTCATAGTTATAGCTACTGCTTCTCTTCTTCCATGATTCTATACGATTTCTGTTAAAAGAGATAATAAGGTAGCAGAAAAATTTCGATAATCCCTGCTGAATAATTTTATACAATAATTATACACCTTAAAAAGAATTAATGTCTTATTTAACAAATTCTTACAATTTTTACAATCTTGTCTTTTTTTATGAAATGAATAGGCGAAAAAATGTGTTCATTTCATCTGATGATTTGATTAAATTTACTTAAAGTCTCACTTTCTACACGTACTGTGCGTTTAAATTAACATTTGAATTAAGAAAAATTTAGTGCTTCTCAAGGCAGGTCTTTGTTTCACAGCCTGTAAAATGTGCTAAGTTTGTAACGAAGTGCTTAGTTACGTCTCCTCTATCTCATTTCATTTTCACTGTGTCCATTAGAGATTCCAAAGATTTTTCTTTCTACACCGTAAACAATACAAATAGGATAATCCAACTGATTTCGACCTATTCCATATCAGAAAACAGTACGGCAAGTTGAGATCTCCATGTCGATTTTGTTTAAAATTTAGTTGGTGCTATAGATGAAAAGTTTTGAGATGTGTTTTGTTCTTGGTTCAGTGATTATTTGTCCTCAGTTATCTATATTTGCTGCGTAAAGGTAAATCCACACAAGCTTGCATCAGCGATGTTGATTTGTATTTCTGGCAGTATTAAATTACCTGTCTGTATTGACTCTTTTAAGCTATGTAATTTCAAAAGAAATTTGTGGATAGGCTTAAGTTTTAGTGGTAATAATTGCTGTTGAGCAGAAAATAAAGTAATTGAATCTTTTCCTTTAACTGCCATTTATCACTGAAGTCTAGAAACAATTAAGGAATTGTTTGTGAATTTTTTCTTCAATTCTGTTTTGTTTTTTGACAGATGGTAGAAATAACAGTTTTGTGGTTAGAAAAATGATATAATTGTGATGATTGTTGCAAATGGTAACCTACCTTCGAAATATAAGAAAAGAATAGTGCTCATCTGAATTGGTGGTTGAGATAGATTGCCTTGAATGAATAAATGAATCAATTTCTGGGCTTAATGAAGCAGAAAATTTAGGATCATTGCCTGCAGGCGCTTGGCTTGCATTTTATACAAGAAAAAAAAAGAAGCTTTCTCATGCTTTCAAGAAAAATAAAGTATGAGCACAGACCTAAAGGGAAAGAGCAAAGCCTTTCATTTCATATATTGCAAGTGGTAGTTTTACTGCAAAAGCTTGAAACCCCAGCAAGTAACTGAAGCTTACTACTTTTTTTGAAATGGATGAATACTTGCTTTAATTTTTTGCATATTTCTTGGCATTTATTCTTTAATCAAAATGTGATTCGGAATATTCGTATCGTATTTATAAACAGTCGAGAAGTGGAAACTTTTTTGCTTTTTTGTAAAGAAACTAAACTCACAAGTCATTTATTCTTTGCGTACACAAAATTTTACTATTGCAGCAAATTTTAAATGCGCCATTATATTCCTTACACCATATACAGTTCAAATTTCTCTCTAAAAAAAATAATTCAGATAGTAAAAAAATTCAAAAAATTTCGCATGCAAGACAGAATTAATTTTGAGGCATACAATATGAAATGGAAATAGGTCGAATTTTGGGATCATTTAGCTTTCATTTTTTGTTTGATAAAATTAATTTTCTACTCGAGCAAATCGTAGTTGATAGTGTGTATAATAGCACTGTTGAGAAGAAATATGCTAGTAGAAAGGAACAAGTCCAAGTAATGTGATTGCTTGCATTAAGGAGGAAATAGAGAGGCACTAAGCGATATTATATATCTCACTTTCATCTTTGTATAATTTGTTCTGAAATAAGTGCATGAAGCGGATGTATGCTATGTCGGTATTTACTAACAAAGATGATTGTAAAGACAGCATCAGATTGTGTTTGATGAAAATAACTCTATCAGAGTTTAATTTTCTGATCATTTTTTATGAAGAAAATTAATGCATCACAATTTGTTAGCATTTCTTATATAGTAAACGACATATTGGCAGTTTATAAAATCAATTAGAAATCATTTTGAAAGGAAAAATGATTTGGCAGGTTTGAGTTGGAAGCAATTTTGTTGATTGGTGTGACAAGAAGCATTGATGTGAACCATTAGCATTGATTGCAATAGCCATTTGTCAACGATTTTGAGAGATAGTAAAGTTTTCAAAACTTCGAATGAAAGCAGAAAACACTAAATTGAATTTAGGGTGGAATTAAGAATAATGTGGTATTTTCCAGATGTTTACTACTTATAACTTTTTAGAGTTATCAAGCAACGGTTCACGATCTTAGTGGTGCTTCTTCATCTTCTGCAGCTGCTGCAGCATCAGCAACATCAATGCCTGTTCAGCATCCGTCAACAAGCCCACCTGAAAATCACCCTTTAGTGTTGGGCGGGGCGCCCCCTCTGACGGCTGGGGGCTCCCAAACGTCCATATCGCTAACAGCCGTCAGTAGTCCTTCAGGGAGGTACGTGTACCTAAATCAGCTTAGTTTCATCTCTGTGAACTTCATTCCATACATTAAGTTAATAAACTAAACAAAAATGGGAATGAAAACTAAACTCATCAGTAAAAGAAATTATTCATCCAGAGAGGGTCTATTTTATTTCAAGATACAGAGATTTGATCCACAAAGTAAAATTCACCAAGTATTTTACTGTTTGGTTCTTCACATTCGTAAATTGTAGCTGTAGGTACTTAATGATAGAAGTTTTCATTTCCTTGGTAAATCATTGATGTAAAAGATTTGCAAACATTGGAAACAATAAATTCTTCAGATTTATAAAAAGATATCAGATCAGTTCTCAGCAAAAGTTTGAAATTAAAAGTACAAAAAATTTATTACAGTTCATCAGCGGGTGGTCAACGGCTTGATTCTACCCCGCACTCGGTGGAAACACCAAATCAGCTGCTTACCACTCAACAACAGGATAATGTTTCTGATACTGGTAATCTTCTGTTTTTACTATCTTAAACATTGATTTCATTTTCTCATTATCATTTACTCAGTACTGTCTAATATTAATAATCTCTTACTAAATTCATTTAGTAGGAGTTGAAATAAAACTGGGTGCGTTTTCTGGCTAATTTTTTTGTAAATCAAATAAATGCTCATCTAAGCAGGTAGTTTTCAAAAAATGAGTTACTGTGTAAGGCAGAGAAGTCGACGTGAAATTTAAGGCAATTAAATTCAATTTCATTCGAATTATCATGTTGGCTTTGACACTGTTTTCGGAGTTAATTTCAATATTGTGAGCTGACTTCGTTTCCCTGTAGTATTGAGTCATTTCCAAACATTTAATAATAAAATTGAGAATTATTTGCTGGCCAATTTTTCACTTGAATTATATATCAGTTTCATATTCTCTTTAGTAATCTTGACAGTGGTATATTATTCAAATATGAATTTAGACTGAAATACCCTGAAAAATATCCCATTTGCTAACAAAATCCCATGAAATATCGATTCATTCATTGTAATGAGTGTAGTTCAGAAGTGAGTAATTTGCGAATCAGTTGTTTCTTGTTTTTCTTTTCACAGCTAATTTTGTATAAGAATGTCTGTGTTAAGTTTTTTTAATTTCCTTCGTTTTTCAAGTTGAGTTTCTGGATCAAGTCAAAAGTTAGGGAGCTAAATCGTGTTTTAATACTTTTTGGTTATTATTGAAAATCTTTTCGTATCTACTGTTGTCTAATCAACACTTTCACGCTACGCTGCATCCTTTAATTCCAAAAATAGTTAATTAATATCATGATAAGCTTAAATGCGATTGTGTATGTATGCATGCATGCATGAGTATATAAATTACTCTAGTAACTACTTGTTCATTTCAAAATTTTTAATCATTTTGCGAGGATTGACTGAAATGAGTAAGATGTGTTTACTTTCATACTAGATTCTGCAAACGTGAGTTATAGGTAGATTCAATATCTACTCAGTTTTTTTTTTCAAGTTATAATTAAGTTAATCATGATAATAATTCTATTTATTACAGTGCAGCTACATCAACTTTGTTTACGTAAATCAATTGCGCTTATTCCTTACACCATTCAAATCACTCATTAATTGATTAATTAATAATCAAACAGTTTTGATCATATTCTTTGCATATGCAAACAAAATTGTAATTTATTTTGCTTTGCATGGCTAGTAAATTTATTTGCTCCATCAGGCATTGGTTTTCATATCTGTCGCTGTAGATGTTCTTTATGTCGCAAAGCGGTATATGTTGCTTGTGTTATTAACTTTTACAGGTAGCATAACTTTGTGCTCACGTTCCAGCTCTTATTTTTCTTGCAAATACGAGTATTACCATCTGTCGAGCGAAACTTCACAGCACTATTGTATTGAAAGTATGTCAAAACAACAGGAACAGCATGAAAACTACGATATCACAATAATACCATTATCTTCGCCAACTGATAATGGGATAATTTTGAATTCACCATCATCAATGATAACATTACCGAAGAAACGTGGGATTTTTCCGAAACCCGCGACAAATATAATGAGAGCGTGGCTTTTTCATCATTTAACGGTTAGTTTGGATTCGGGATTATAGTAAGTGCTCTGAAGGGCTCTTATTAGTGTGATAAGTACTAGTTTTTTTGGTCAGATTCCCATATTTTATATCTTGAATTGTGGATTTCACGATAGAGATGAAGCATCAGTACATGACATTCAGTTTTGTAAACAAACTGAAACGATGTATTGACAGCACACATATCATATCAAGTCTTTCACCTTAATATATAAGGGTCGATTTTTGTTCTGTAGTCACTTCGCCTCAATAATTTGCTTCTGTTTTCATTAGCTTGTTTCGCTCTGCAATAATTTTTGCTTGTTTCGTGCAACAATTTTACATTGATACACCTCTGCTTTACTTGCATTCTCACTCAGTAATGTGCACAAACAATGCTTGCTGTTGATAATAATGATAGTAAAATCAGTTGTGATATTCATTTACAATCTGAAAATTATGCGTGTTTTATTTGTTGTCCGATGCATTGTTATTTGTTCGTTGATGTATTATTTTTTACTAAGGCCAAGTCCACCATCAATTAGAATTTGTTTATAATTTTTTGTTTCTGGTGGGAAATTAGCCAGCAAAATAAGATGTTAAAATAATTATTTAGATTTGCTATCCCTTCCTACTTCATTATTTCTACCTGAGTGATTTCTGTTAAAAGTATAATTTATTAATTTCACTTTTCTTGCCTAACAAGAAGTGGGTTAGGTAGCTACGTGGTGTTTCCAGGTGATGAATCGTTATCGATGTGTGGTTCATTAAATGATGACGGTGGTAGGGAATCCGTATTGAGCGATGGAAATGGTGGAAGTGGTGGTGGTTCAGCTACAGGCACTAACAAACGAAAAGTACCCAAAGTTTTTTCGAAAGAAGCAATCACCAAGTTCAGGGCATGGCTATTCCAAAATCTTACTGTAAGTTTTGAGATCGTCTGAGTCAGTCTACTAATAACGTTACCTGACTTCTAGTTAATGTCCGCAATCTTCTAATTTGTTCTGAGCTTCAATTATATTCTTTTTGTTTTTATTTGAGTTTCCTTCAAATGATATGTCCTTTCTATTTTTAAGACTTTGGATTGACATCTGTTGTATTTTTTTGCTTATAAACTTCATTAAGTTGACCTGTTTTTATACTGTAAAATTTTGATATATTTAGTATTTCGTATTATGTGATGATGTTATGGTTATTGTCAGGTGTCCATCATTTACTGGCAAGTAATACCTTGAAAGATGTGTAGTATTTTTTAAGGAGATTTGTCTGCAGTCATTACTGTTTGGACAATATTTCATTCAAAATTACTTGTTAATTTCAATTGCAATGATGTATTGAAGGAATTTTTACTACTATATTTGTTTCTAATAATCTCTGATTAATTTTCTTAAATTTTGGTGTTATTCATTTCGATGATACTTTTTTTGTGGTGGTATATATATTAATGTTATATTAGCAACATTCATTATTCAATGAGTAAAGTTTCATTGTAGCCAACGATTATGAATGTAATTATCATTATCACAGTACTTCACTTTACTAAGATAACTTGGTTCTATTATATTGTTATATTATATTTGTAATTGTTCTGGGACAATATGATAGAAGAGAAGTCTATCAATGGTAGTGTAGTTGGTTGGTTAACTTGTCCTTGAAATAACCAATGCTCACAAACAAAAATGATGATTTGGACTACGGTATTATTGCATCTTTTTCATTCTCCGCTGGAAGTCAATCGTTTGTTGAGAATTTCCTAATTTTTTTTATTCTTATTTCTATAGATAATTTAAAATTGAAAGGTCAATGATTTGCAGAAATGAAAATAGTTTTATTTAAGGGAGAAGTCAATTGTAAAATTTGTGGAAATAATGAAATATACATGAAGCATAACTCAAAAATTATCAGTTATTAATAAAATTACTTTTATGATGTGAATATAGATGATATTTTTCTATGAAGTTTATTTCTGTTTGTCCTTTTTCACTCTTCGATCTTGCCAAAAGATAATCATGCTAGCAGTAATTGGGAGGGATATCATTTTCAAGCTTCATTGATATCAGCAATACTGTTCATTCCCAATAGAGGGATGGGAAGAGTGATAAATTGATGAATAAATACATAATGTCAAGAATTGACAAGTTTATTGCAATTTTTGATGCAGATCTTTGCTGGCATATATGTATCTCTTTATATTAATAATATTCAATCAGTGTGTGCGTCAATCACTTATGTCTTTCACAGATGTCTATCAGTTCCATAATTCATTTCCTTCTACAACTTTTTCGAATGGATGAAATGAATTCCATAATGTTAGTTATTTGTCATAGTGTATGATTTGATTAGCATTCACTCAAAACGAATCAGTCAATCTTACAACCAACACTGACAGATTGCAACAGATTGGATTGAATTGAAACAGACTGAACTACTGGTAGATTGACATACACTCTTTGAAATAATTACTGCTGAAATGATTATCGATAATTCATTTTCAGTCAATTAATTTAATTTGATGAATTGTCGCGTTTACATCGATGCTCAGCACTCATTAGGATCAGTTTGTCTTATGCCAAACTTCTAATGAGTGCTGATCTTTTATTATATTGCAGTGAATTGATAACTTTTTTCCTGAAAACATTTATAGTTATATATTAATTATAGAAACAGAAGCTGTTACTGTATTAATTCATGTTTTCGTATCGATGATTTTAATTAGATGTGTAGTCTTGCTTTGAAGTGGTATTTGTTAATTTTCTATGAATAGTTTGAATGCTTTTATAGCTAGTCTTACTTTCTGCCTGTAGCAATCAATGTGATGCTCCTAAATTTTTATTTTAAAAATTTTCTGTGTGCTTTTCTTCCTTTAGGTGATGCCAAAATACTGTTATGTTTACAGTTGTTTACAGTCTTTCAGTCTTTGACCATTTTTTTAATTTTTGTTATCAGTTGATAACGTTCAGTTTTGGTTTGGTAATAATTTTACTTGCAGCATCCATACCCATCAGAAGATCAGAAGAAGCAGCTTGCTCATGAAACTGGTTTAACAATACTTCAAGTCAATAACTGGTATTTTATTTTATTTGAATTTTATTTGAAATTCACCGTTTATTATTGATACAGTATCATATTCTTTAATAAGGCTTTCTTAATGGTAAATAGATTACATTAATAAAATTGCTTTGCATAGCGCCAATTTTTTGATCTCTCTCATAGGTGAAAATCAGTTTAATTTATTGCTTTTAAAGAAGATTATTATGGTCTGTTAAATCATTTTCTCTGTACTTACTGATCATAATGAAGTAATAGGTGATTTAAAAAGACAAGAGGTCGATAATTTAGATTAAGTAAGCAGTTGGTGTGTCGCGGTAAATTAACTACTATTTTTCCAAAATCAGGTCAGATTGAATAACGCTAAGAATCTAAAGTGAAAACTGATGGTGTTGCATTAAAGTAATGAGTATGGATGGTTATATGATCATGTTTAATTGCTTTTACTGCATTCACAATAAATTGAGTGACAGTTGTGGTACCCGAAAATTAGATCTGGTTAAATATAGGTTAGTTAAGGAAGACGAAATGGGAAAAAAGGGAACATTGAAAACAGTTGCTCAGAAGAATTAAACAAATTACCATAAAAGGGATATGCATTTTTATGATGAAAATAAAATATACAGAGATGATGAAAAATGAATGAAATTCATAAATTTCTAGAAAGTAGTTTTTTAGGAACATTTGAGAATATTGATATGCAGATAGGATGGTTATTTGTAGTTACACATAGTTCGTTAATTATATTGGTATATCTCAGACATTAGATAAAGATTATTTTTACTCCGTACAAAAAATCTTATCAAATTTACAACTTTTCAAGTTAATGTTTTTATTTCTCTTGAAAATTCCATTTTATTTATTCCTAATTTTTTAGTGTCAATATCTTTTTTTAATACTCTTAATGAATATTTATTATTAATACACGATATTAGTTGCACTTCAGGTTCAGCTAATATATTTAAATCACCTTTGAAGAATCAGCTTACAATATTATGATTTTGCTATTATTTTGGATTATATTTACAGATCGGTAATCACTTGTTTGAATTAGACTTTTTTTGTGGTGAAATTTATTGGCTTATGAGTGATTTGTTTGCAAAGTTCAGTTTGTGTGGTATCATTTTTAAACAGTACAGGAAATATTCGGCATATTTAAGTCTCCTCCAATGTTATTACTGTTAGTTGCTTATGGAAGCTTGTTTAACTTGCTAAATAAAATTATTGAGGCTGTTGGGAGTAATTATCAAATTATTCGTTGCAGAGTTGAGAGGATAAAGTGGTGCTGAAGCCCATTGAACTAAAATAGATATTGCTTTCAGTATACTATTTTCGTCCAATCTCAATTATTTCATGCGTTTATGTATAATTAGCTGATCTCATTTTCAATGCATAAAAAGAAAGGGTGAATGAGTGGTAAATCACTTTTCGGCTTGTTTCATACTCGTTGACTTCCAAACTTTCCTTTTGATAACTTTTATGCACATATTCTGGGGATATGTAAAATCTCTACGGACTAAACCGCATATTGCTCGGTTCATAAATCTCATAGGAACATTTAGAAGTTTCTTTCAAATCTTCAATCTCGGATGATTAATACGATTTTAAAATGTGCAAATTAATATTACGAGAATATATCTCACTTGTTAGTGATTGAGCGTTTGTTTATTTTTACGTTACTACTTAATACACCCTAGCAGCTTTCCAAAGTGAATGATTAAAATCACATCTCATTTTAATGGATTTTCAGTAGAAACAATGAATTTCACTATTGTTTTTAAAATGTTTTGCAACCTGACGAACGTTTCGAACAGTAATTAAAGCATTTTATGGATGTAAAATTGGCAGAGAGGTGATGAAATAAATTTGAGAGTGAGAAATTATGATGGATTTGTAAAGAAGTAAATAATTTGTTATTAAAGAATTTAGGGGAATTGTGTTTGCAAAATACCACCAGTAAATGTTTTCATTTGTTGGTTGTATCTGTTCTTTATCTCGTTTTTTCAGTCATAGATTTTAGATTTAAGTTAGACCGAAGAAAAAAAATAGTAGAGATAAGTTTATTTATAAATGCAAATAAACATTAATTCACGTAATGTGCATTTATTTGTTTTAGTTTAGAACACTTCATAAGCATGCATTTTTTTGTTTAATATTATGTTTAGTTAGTAATTAATTATTTACGAAGACTAAAGATTGAGAAAAGGAAAGTAAACTTGAAATTGTTTAATTATTTACACTGTATACTTGTTCGTTTGTCTGCCTTTTCAATCAAAAAAGTATGTCATTAGATTCCTAGTCATTACTATTTTTGGAGAATGCAAAATGTTCTTTCAATTCTTTTAGGTTTATCAATGTATTTATAAAAAATTGTTTGCAATGTGCACTCAAAAGCAACCACTTTATTTTTTTCACTTCCCTTATCGTTTATTCTAATTCTAATTCATTTGCAAAAAAAACCAAGTATATTTTTAGTTTTAATTTCGTTAAAATTAAAATTAAATCTATTTGTTTATTTGTTTGTTTTTAAAATTATCCACTGTATAGCTTTTGCACCGACTAATTTCTCTTCAAAATTCCAACACTCCGCGTAACATGTGTGATTGTTGTCAAATTTTATCATTTATATTTAAATATCTGTGTTGATTATTATATTTGGAGCAGGTTATTAGATCTTTTCCATATTTTAACTGCTCATACAAGTGATTGAAGTACTGTATTTCATGTTTTTAATCTTTTTATTAATGAGCATTAATTCATATTTTGTTTTCACTTTTTTGTTACGAATTTCTTTATGGAGGGAGGGATTTGAGAATTTCTGAATTTGATTCTTGTTACCAATAATAAATACTATAGGGATTGTTGTTGTGATTAATGTTGTGATTTAATAATGAGAATAATGACAAATGATAATCAGTTATAATTTTTATTATCATTATTTGTGCGTGTGTATGTGTGTTAATGTCAAGTAGTAATGATTGAAGGAAAAAACAGTCTAATAGGAGAGAGCGTAGAGCGAGCAGTCTGGATGCAATCAGTTATTTCTTTCGTTAAGGCGAACTTCAAAGGGATAGCAGTCACCGTATGATTGATCACTTTTGTCGTTAAAAGTGAAAGGAAAGAGAAGAGGGAAGAGAGAGACATATGTGCATCGAACACATTCTTCTTTTCATCCTTTCAGTTGTTCATACCGTATCCTTTCTTCTACTTCATTTTCTATTCCTTTCTTATTCTTCATTTATTCTGTCAAATGATTTGTAACACGCACAAACGTTTAATTCCCGAATGACATTTTTGTTTTGCAAGTATTGCTGCTATTATCAGTGATGGAGATATTATCTTATTGGTAAGAAATGAAGTATTTCGATAAGGCAAAGTCTATTGGGAGATCATCCATTAAGATAAGTTGATAGATAATGCAAGAAATAAGTATTACTCGTATATTTCATTTCATTTATTACAAAAAAGTATTGATGAAAAAGCAGAATAATAGTGCTTTCAATATTAGTATTGACTGAAAAGATTGATTTCATTTTTAGTTGAGTATTTAGTAGTGTATATTAGTGAAAAACTTAAAATCATATGTTAGATGGATAAGATAGGATGGTTGGCGTAGAATTGATTGTGATGCATAAGGAAGGTAAGAAAGAGGCAAAAGAGCCTTGAAAATGATGGATTATCACAGCTGTCGGTGTGGCACTCACATACGCACGGCAGAAGTAGTTTAGTTAGTTAGTTAAGGTATGAATGTGGAATGATAAAAAGGGACGGTCAGAAGGATGGAATTTGGGGTTTGGTATATCTGAGTAAGAGATATTTCTCGTTAATTTATTTTTTTGGACTCGGAGTGCAAAAGTTTGTTTATCTAAAAGTTTGAAATAAAAGACACTGGGTATGCAGTATATGCACTACTTCAAGTGTATTGTCATCTATTCATTAAAAAATGCTTCTATAGCGGAACAGAATTTGTCCATCATGAAAATTAGTTTAAACAAAGAAGACATCTCTTTGCAAGTACATATTGCAATCTTATTCGTATAATTTGCCATAATCTGTTGCTACGATGCCGTACTTGAGTACCGAAAAAGCAGTTTTAAAATTAACTCATCAGCTGAACAAAAATTTGTGGTAGTCGACCGAACGTTGCTACAATGCTGAATATCCCACAGCATTTGTTATTATTAATTGTTTCTCATTATGAAATGAACTATTTTGCAGTTGTCATAAGTTTTACTTATTCGAAAACTTCTCTAATCTTTCGAAAATGAAGAAATTTATGCCTCTCTGAACAGCAAATGTGTGAGTTCCAAATTTTCAAACGCCATTCATAGAGACTTGACTGTATTCTGTGACACTTTATTTCCTTTTAAAACGTACTGCGAAACTTGCACTGAATAATAGTAAAGAGAGCACAAAGTTGTTATTTCGAATGCATTGTACATATACTGCTACCGTACCCTCTATTCCTTATAATTTTTTTTTGGAATGAGTATGAAGTACTTCGTCCATAATTTCCTTAATTTAGCCATATTAGAAAATTATATTCTCAGTGCATGTGACTGAAATTAATATAGTTATGTTGTATGTAACTTTGAACATTGGTTTTGAGTTAAAATGATTAAAAGATTTTTGTTCAAAAAAGTCTTATCAAGTATTTGACTTTGGATATAACGTTATTCATTTATTCCTCGATCACTGTTGTGGTGTTGGAAATAAATTTATTTTTGCTGAAATTAATTCCCATAGTTATGTAAACTATTGACTCTCTCGTTGCTTTCAACCTTGAAGCCTGCTAATTCATCTTTAAGCATTATTAATTCATTGCACGAACTCTAGCAACTGTCATATTAGTTATATTATAGAAGATTAATGCATTTTTATTGTCATACATCAGTGTGCTGTTGATAATATATTATTGGTAGTAACAGTAAAAGTATGGGAAAGGGTCGATTTTATGAGGGTAATAAAAATTAGACGTGAAGTTGCAAGTTAACATGCAATGGGAGATATTCTGAATCGATTGCTAAATCTTATCACGTCAATAAAGGGACATATAATATAATATTGTTATTTTCCTCGTTTTTTATTATCTATAAAAAAATTATTCATAAAATAGATTTTTATGTACACTCTAAGCGAATGAATGTGAGCAAAATTTTCTTCTCACCTCACTTATGCCTTCTGCTATCTCTTGCAGAACTCATAAATTAAATTAATTGTGTACTCTAGAGAAAATGTGATGACTGTTGCATACTAAGGATTATGTGTCAGTCGTTATTTTATTTACTTTTCTGTGTGGAATTATCAGAATTATAATTCAGCAGTCGGGATAATTTTCACTACCAAATGTAATTCTTAAACGAATATGGAGTAAATTTGAAAGAAAGAATTATGACCAATTTCTATTATCAATATTAATGGTGACACTGTAGTAGTAATAATAATGAAAATTAGAGTTTATTTAATTTTTTTTAAATCGTAAATTATGTAGCCAGTTTAGGTAAACTCAAATATTCAATCATTTTCATGTTTTGTCGAAGATAATTGACGAACTGTTAATGGAACAGCTGTTTGTTCCGACATTCCTCTCAGTACTTATAAATATAATTGAGACTGAATTACAAGTTTAAACAGTGTGAAAAGAAATGAACTAATCAGTATGTTATAGGTTTATTAACGCTAGAAGGAGAATCGTTCAGCCGATGATTGATCAGAGTAATCGAGCTGGTCGACCAAATGGCGTCAGCGTTTTCAAGAACAGAAGGAGGAAAAGCAGCGGTCAGAGCCCTGGTCCTTCACCTGGTACGTAGCTTTAACGCTTCTGTACATCACTTTAATTTTTTGTGAAAAGAATGCACAGCTAAGTTTGTTTACGAAGAGATTCTTTACGAATACATTTTAACCAAATCATGTAAAGTATAGTTAAAATTATATTTGTCTGTTTATTTCAAGCACGGAAAACAGACTACCGTTTTATAAGATTTGGGTGCACAGACTATTGATTCTTCCATCTTCTACATTCATAATTTGTGTTCTCGCTTCAAACTGTATATCAATTTTGCTTTATGAAAAATTATCTCAAATTCTTTAGTATACAATACTAGCTTACGAAGAAACGAAAATTAGTATATTATTTTAGATTTACTTGGTGTTGGCCACACTTATAGTCCTGACAGTAATCCACTAAGTGCCGCAGCAGCAGCTGGTTATCCCGCTCAAGCCATGTTTCCTGGGAATCCATATGCAGCTGGCATTGCGCATCCGGCGTTCACAAACCCAGCGTATGTTTGCTCTATTTTTGAAACAATTTACTGAGGCGATTTCAAATTCAGAATTGGTAGTTTAAATCTTGTGCTATAATGAATTATTCATTCATTTCATTCTGCTTTTCATATTAATTTATTGGAGGTTCATTTAAAATAGTGCTTGTCAGACTTAGTTCTTGTACTTCTCGAAATCTTAGTTATTGAAATTACTTTGATTTTTCAATTTGAGGCACAGAATTATATTAGTTTGAAAAACTTCGTTCTCTCTTTCAGAAACTCGTATCTCGCACTTATTTCTTTTTGTAACTCTAGTGAACTACAGAATTTCTAACTCTACTTCCTAATTAATACCTTTTGATATAAATGTCTAAATCATTTCGAACAACTGCGAATATTTGTTTATAGCCTGTTAACCTTAGTTTCCAAAAATATTTAAATTTTATTCAGCTTAATCATTAAATATCTGTTTAAATTTTTCATTCAGTTTTAACTAAAATTGCGACTTCGTTGGCGCAATTAATTGATGTTGTGCTTTATTGTAGAAACACAATCTTTACTGTTTTTTACAGTCTCAGTCGCTGTGTTACTCTATTGCTTGTTTTATGAAGCTTGTTATTTAATTATTTTTTATCAAAAAAGGCGATACAATTAGACTTTTTAACTTTCAAAAATGTTTCTTGATTGATCTTTGCACAATATGGAGAAAGTTTGAAAATCGAGCCTTATGTAGTTGCCAAATAATCTTTATATTTATACTGTATTTTAATAAAGACAGTATTTATTTATAGTGCTCTGACTGGCCACATGTTCATGCCCGGACCTATGAGCCATATGATGGCACCATATAGTGCAACACAGACGCAAATGGGCGCAAATGTCTGGATGGAATCGTTGATGCCAGGCCATATGTCCATGGATGCTTAGAATCTCATGGGAGGACTTCCGCAAGGCATGAAATCGGAAGATGAGGCTCAACATTCGTAATTTCAGACCTATTGAGAGTCCATCGATGATGACGAATGCATTTTAAACTTATGGATACAAAATTTAACGATACATAGCAACATCAGTTTTTAAATTGAGATATATTTATTGCTGGCGAAGTTAATATTTTACTGAATATTTAATGTTGGTAAATAATTAAACTTTACCATATTTTGGAATAAAAATGCAAACTGAAGAAACTATTTGATATACAGCATTAAAAACACGTAGACTAATTGCTTTGCTGTGTTACAGTATCAGTAATATGTTCTTTGAAGGAAATGGGAAAAGTAATATATTTTTAATGTTATCTATAATTATTTAATTTGCTCAAGTTAAGTTTTCGAACTCAGTTCTCCGTGTATCGGTGTGTTTTCGTGTTTGCAGCCTCTCAATTAATCTCGCTTCTGTTTGTTACGATTTGAAAAACGTAACAAATGTCGTTTATTATTATTTGTCTGCTAATTAATGTGGATTGTACATTTTTTCGAATTAATTATGCATTAGATTCAAATTTTTTGTTTTAAAAAGTTCGTCAAAATCAGTCAATTTTCCTTACTTTTTTCTAGCTACAAGCAAAAGCTTATGGTTCTTCATATTTATGAACAATGTAGAATTTCGCTACACTTTTCAGTCATTGTCAAATGATTCCTGAATGCATTTGCTGCATTTCTTGAAGTTTTTCGTAATGAATTCTTATAAATTCCATAAGTTTAATTGAATGAAACTTTAACATTTTTTCAAATTTAAAATGTGAAGCTCATTGACTAATTAAGGGATCAAATTCTGTCAACTTTGATATTTGATAGAGTTTTGTATTTGTATCTTGTGCAACAGAATATGACACACTTCCATTTGGTTACATCTTAGTGATAATTTGACTAATAGCGCTTTTATTAATGGCATAATTTTTAATAGCTCATCGTAAATTTATTCTTTAACTTTTTGCTTCTTCCATATTCTCTGTATTATATTCGAAAGTGTCTAATTACTGATAACAATACATCAGGAAATGGAATAGCAAACTGTGTGATATTGAAAATTTTGTTTTCATTAAGTTAATATTTCCTGACTTTTAGCTGATTGGCCTTGCTTTCTTGCTGTGTTTGCTATATTTATCCGTACTCACAGGGCGTTTGCTTTTATTTCAAATGTCAAAATTTATTTTTAACAAATATTGTTCAGTTATCAGCTTAAGCAATTTGTTCCAAGGCTAATTCTATCATCATTTTATTCTCGTCAGTGCTACCAATTCTGTCATTAATTATAACACATACTAATGTTACCATTTTGCTTTTCCTAATAATCATGTAAAATGATGGAAAAGAAATTCCCAAAGTACTTACAAAACCGGAGCTGATTTCAGGCGCATATCGAATACTATGAGGAGAACTTGGGTAAGTGTATGTTAAAGTTGGGCTAGTTTTTCCATACTACTTACTACATAAAATGGAACGGAATGGTTGAAATGGTAGAAAATAATTTTCCATCATTGTTCACTTTTCATCTATTTTGATGTATTGCTTTTAAATCATTTGTACGAGTTTTGTGTTGAGAATTAAAATTACAAATTTTCATCGTTTTTTAACGAATGAATTCCGTTTTTTGTTATGACGCGGGCTTTGTTATCATCCATGACTGTATTTGTTCCCTATTCTTTCGTACTGAAACATGCGTGTAATTTCTTATACTCTTTAATTCATTTATGGATCTATTGATTGCGAATAAATTGATGGTGATTTTTCCGTATTTTGTGTCAATTTTTTTCATCGTATCTGAAAAACTGGTTAGGCAAGAGAGAGAGAGAGATATGAGTACTTAATCTGTCCTTAAATTGATTTTGCATGATCGCAGAATTAATTCGTCATTCATGGACGTAATTTTCTTTAATTCGTGTTTCTGAATTTTGGTAACTTCTACAATGCACTTGTAGACTTTCGGCTAAAGCTGTTAAGGCTAGAGCTTATGTTATATAGTCTTCCATCATTTCTATCGAAGTATGTATATGAGGGTCGAATGGTTGAGATCTGAGAGAAATTCTTAGTTTTATATAAATGAATTATTTGTTTCTCCGATTTAAAGCTCTATATTTATGTAGTTGCAGTTATGCAGAAATGCCAATCGTCAGAGTTTAATCACAATCTAATGATATTTGGTACCAGTCAGAGAAGATTTGTGAAATGATAAGATGCAAAACGTTTAATAAAGTTTTTACCAAAGAAAATTGCTGAAGCGAGCTTTACGTTTGCTTCGCAATGAGATATGTAGTAATTGTTTCAAAATACAACAATTGTGGAAGTCATGATTTTGCTGCAAGGTCAGTGGAAAGATCTTACTGATTAATCTAGATCAGACGGCATTACATGTCGTTCACTAACTAGAATTAGGCTTTGCGATGAGTGAAGGAAAACTTAATAATGCAGATTATGATTAGTAATAGATTCAGTCCCACAGACAAAGTATAGTTAATAGCATGAAATAGAAGAAATCAAACTCAAATCAGAAGATTAAAGGAACTGCTTCAGATGTTTTGTATATAAGTGTTTTTGCAAAGACTAATCTTTATACAGTCTCAAATAATCTTTTTCAACAACTTCAGTTAAATGTCAAGATTTTTGAGCTTAATTTAGAAGGTAACTCAACATTGTTAGGAACTAACTTCACTAATTCCATTCATGCCGTAAGCCTAACAAAGAACAAATACTAAACTTCCATCAAATGCATCGTCATATGCAAGTATAACTCTGAAAATTTTTCTGAACTCACTGATGGGATTTTTTATTTTCTCTGTTTGTTTGTTTGCCGCTAAAATAATTCATCCAACTGTTGTTATCAAAAGTATACACAACTTTAAAGTGGCGTTTGAGCGTTAAAAAA